TGATATAAACACGAAGATTCAACTACTACGTTAGTCCAAATTCCTTGAATACGCATGCTCGGCTTCAAGGTCGTGCATTGTGGGAAAACTGTGAAAACAACTATAGATAGACCGTACTATAACAATTTCGTGGTGTCATGTTCTAGCATTAAAGAACTATGTTTATTTATTGTGTAGCTTACACTTTAAAGATAACTACATGTATATGGCTTTTAACGTAACATTTCTTGACAAAGATGACCCAAAGGACCAAGCTACTTTACATCTTCACATTCGGAACTCTCTGGATTTCTTTATACAACATACACTGTCAGAGTAATTTTCTACATTCCTTTTAACTCCCTGTATTTTCTTTGCTACATTGCCAAGAAATTCTATTTTTAAACCAGCTCATACAATGCCTCAATCGGCATCTTCTTCATATTATATAGACTGAGTCTTCCCCTTTCTAGTAAAGGTTTTAGATACCGTTGCACCAAAACTCTATTAGGTCAAGACAAAAATCCCACACGTTTTTTTACCTATGTGTCTATAAAATACACTTCAAAAAACAATTATAACTTTATCATTCTCCAGCTTCGATAAAAATTAAAGAATTCAGCAAAATAAATCACTTGATCACGGATCCTCCTTTCTGTGTTTAAAAATTGCTATTAAACTTTTTTAAAAGATAAACAATTTTTAACATGTTGAGAAATTAAAAATGTTAAACCATTGGAAAAAAAATGCCAAAATTCTGTAAATCTATGAAGCGAAACAACATTCAAACTCGATCTGTAACTCATAAAGATACACTTACATTCCAAAAATTCAGCTCAATATCTGCAAGCGTTTAGAAAAAAGTGCGGAAAACCAAGTAGGACAGACTGACAGACAGATACGGGGACATACAGACGCAGAGGAAACCTATATAGTCCCCTCCGGTTTCACCGGTAGGGGGACTAATAAGTCAAACCTCTTTATTTCGAACACGAAGTGAGAACAAATCTAAAGTATAAAAAAAGGTGGAATTTATGATTCTTCGATTTACCCATTGTTTTCAAGATATCAAAGTTTGAATATTGAAGACACCAATTTTATCAGAATGTACTAGTATCAAAATTTCATTAAAAATATATTTAATCCTTAATATCGTTCTTCGGCCGCCCGTGTGGCGCAGTAGTTAGAGCGTCTGCCCTAGAGTCGCAAAGTAAGGAGTAAATACTTGCATCATGGGTTCGAATCCCACTGCGGGACGTGGAAACTGGTCCTTCGGAGGATGAGACCGTATAAAATCGAGGTCTAGTATCGCAGTAGGTGCAGTAGGAAAAAAGATCCCCCCCACTCACAATGGCCCTGAGTGCCTAGTATAGGACAAAATTTGCAGTTCTCCACCGGCTAGCTCTCCATATGAGTGAAAAAATCTCGAGAGTGGCGTTAAAAACAATATCAATATATACAAAAACAATATTAAAAACGATCAATCAATCGAACTTTCTTTACTTCTGAAAAAAAAAATTAAGCGTTCTGTTCTTGGTTTTCTGAAGTTTTGAATTCTTAACTTTGATAATAAATTTTCATTACTTAAAAAATAGGGTTTTAATGTATATGAAAACATACGAAAACAATGTTTAAGTGAAATAAAACCAGAAGTTCCCGAAAAAGAAAAAAATCGACTACTTTTTAACTTTATTAAAAGACTAGAACCGAGACTTGAAACAATTATTTTTTATACATATATTTTTCCAAAAAGATTTGTAGCCAAAAAATGGCAGTTAAGCATCATTTTGAATCATCTTATGCTTTTCTTCCATTTTTCTTGCCCTTTTAGTAGCTATGCAAGGATCAATAGCAAGGGATAAGTTTCGTTTGGTATACCTTTTTGTCACGTTAAATCATTATTTTGTATGTCCAGGAAGTTCACCCCATAGTCGCCATTTTAAAGTTACGAAAAAATATAGTTCACTCTCAACCGCTTTTGAGAAAACAAAATTAAAACAACAAAAATTTTTATATATAAAACATTAGATATAAAACTTCGGTCAAAGAACATAGTTCATTAGCGTAAGGATTTTTGATAATCATGCCCAGTTGTATAGATCGTAAAAGCTTAAAAAGGCTTCACATTTCACAAGATTTCTACTTTAGTTATCATAGTCATATTTTTACCTTTATGGTACAGGCCTTTGATATAGGTTGAAGATTACTTTATTATCATTAAAATAGTTACAGGCAGACAAGCACGGCAGAAATCCTAGCATTTCATAATCTGTTGAAGTTGTGGTTTGTACGTATATATTTGTTTCCTATATTTACAAAATGCCGCATACTGAAGTCAATCTGGATTGGTAGAAAGATTTAAAGTCCCTGCTGCTGCATGATACAAAAAGAGCCCACACTATTCCTAGAGGAATGTCTATGAATCCTACAAGGAAGTCAGTTTTGTTTAAAGAAATGAATTTAAAAGGGTTGTTTATAACGAGCGCAGCGAGACGCGCTGCTCGTAAAGAGCTCAATAGACTTACGTGAAAGAACAGAGGAAATTTGGAATGAAATGTTTACATACGTCAGGCAAATTTTTGCGTGAAACTTTCCCATAATTTCTTTGCTACTAGGATTGCACGCGATGATGGTGAATAAAAAAATAACATAAAAGGCTTCCGGTTTGTAGACATCTTCAAAGAAACAAAAACAAACAAGAGATGTTTGTAAAACACTTATGCCCCCCTTTCCCCCCAAATTGGAACTTTTCCAAGTCCAAAAGGGCATAACTCTGTCAAAAATTGTGCGATTGTACCCAAAACAGAACTTGACCTAGATATTCATCTGAAAAATCTGTACGCTAAATTTCATATCAGTATGTCAAACGGTTGCGAAAAAAATGAACGGAAACTGCAAATAATATAAATTTTCTAAGTCCAAGGGGCATTACTCTGTCAAAAACGGCGCAATCGTACCCAAAACAAAACTTGACCTAGATATTCATGTGATATATCTGTATATCAAATTTCATTTCATTATGTAAAACGTCTGCGAAGAAAATGAACGGAAACTGCGAATAGTTGAAAGTTTTTTAAGTCCAAGGGGCATAACTCTGTCAAAAATGGTGCGATCGTACCCAAAACAGAACTTGACCTAGATATTCATGTGATATATCTGTATACCAAATTTCATTTCAGTATGTGCAATGGTAGCGAAGAAAATGAACGGAAACTAAATGGACCGACAGACAGCAGCAAAGCAATATGCCCTCCCTTCTTTGAAGGGGGGGGGGGGCATAAAAAAAAACAAGACTTGTTTGTGAAACACTATACACATAGTGGCAACAAAGTTCGAAAAAGCTGTTTTTAGCATATAGGTCTCGGTCAAGGCCACAAGGTCATTGACTTTGGTGTCATCTGAAAGAACTTAATTAGTGGAGTACATTTTTGTGACAAGACCTTTCTTTGGGTACCACCACATTTGACTTTGACCTTCGAGTTTGACCTACTTTTACAAAAATATACCATACTTTAACTTTGGCCATAACTTTTGAACTGTTGAAGCTTAGCCTTCATACTTCAGATGTGTATTTAATGTAACAAGCCCTTTCAGCTGATATAAATATTTTTGACCTTGATCTAAGACTTTGACCCTCTTTTTTAAAACTTTAACCTTGATCATGACTTTTAAACATTTAGATCTAGGGCTTTCATATTTCCTTGCTTTACTTGTAACAAGACCTTCCTTTGGGTACCAACACTTTTGACCTTGACCTTTGGAGTTTGACATGCATTTGAGAGAATTCAACTATCGCCATTAGCTGCCATACGGGGGCATCAGGGTTTCACAAACACATCTTGGTGATGGTACAACTGCGCTCGCTCCAGAGGTCACACCGTTAAACGTATATTTTTCCTTTTGGACGGTGATATAAAAGTAGTAAAGGATTCTTTGTTATTAAGAAACAGTAAGAAAATACGCAAAACCCACTCATCAACTTTTCAACCTTTGATTATTATTTTACTTTCAATTACTTGCAAAAACCTCATGATATTGGAAAGGAGTTAGATGTAATTCCCACAAAGTTGCTGCTTTATGGAGTTCTCCTTGGATAATCTAAACCCATTATTTAGAATCATACAGGGTAAAACACTTCTGTTGTTCATGACATCTTGAAATGACAACTTGTCATGAACAACATGAGGGTTAATAGAAATCGGCACAGAAGTACTTGTTTTTCCGACTCTTTTGTTTACGGAAATGTCGATACTGCCACTATAACATCGAGTGGTCAACGGTTTATTTCCGGAAATTCATTTTACAAAGAATGAGCACAACAGGATGAAAACCTTTCATCTTAATCAAATCACTTCTGATTATTATAGGTCAAAATTTATGTCCGAGTAATTGAAAAAATCCATAATTTCTGCACGCAATTGCAGTAAGATATGTAAAGTCGAGCTTTGTTAATATGGATGCTAATGTTTCCCGAACAAACTAATTAATTATCCGGATAACTGTAAGGTACTTTTCATACTTGGTAGATATAAAAGAGAATTATGTTCCCTACAAAATCACCTAAAATGTGAAAAAGATTACGGAGTTATAACGAGGCCTTGCTGTATGTGCATAAAAAGAAGTTATTGGAAGAAAAGTGTTACTTGCTATAGTTAATGGTTTTAGGACGTTAAACTTAACACCTTTCTTGGAAGCGATATGCAGGCTTAAAGATAATTCTGAGTCTCTTTGCGAAAAAGATGACAGAAATAATTAAAAAGAATGATATAAGCCGACATCTTATTCACATTAATGTTACAAGTTAGTTAAAATCGTTGACAGTTTGGAAAGGAAATGCATTACAACTTCAATATTAAATAGTACATGTCATCGCTTTAATAATAATTTACCAAAAACACTGAATAGGTATTTAGGTACATGTAAAAAAAATAAGGGAAACATTACTTTTATAAATTTGTCACATAGTATTTGTATGAAAAGTAAGAGTGATTTTAGTGAAAGTTTTATTCTACTATTTTCAGTGGCATCTCTCGTATCGAGCATCCTTTCACTAACTTTGGTGGCATGTGACCGTTTCTTTGGCATAGTTTACGCCATGAAAGCTCACATCATAGAAAGAAAAGCAAAACCAGTGATTATAGCAATATGGATAGTTTTGACTGCAGTGGCAATACCTATGTTGATATACAGAAGAGTGCATGAACGACATTGGAAGAATCACATAGAAAAATGGTGCGATGACGTAGAATGGTCAATAGATTTGGAAAATGGAGAATCCCATTATCATCGGCCTGCCCGTGTTGCGTACTGGACATGTGTTTCGGTCATACTATTTTTTCTGCCCATCGTCGCCATGTTTGGTGCATATTGTGGAATAATAAAAACACTTTGGTCAACTAAAATACCAGGGGAGCGCGTTTACAAAGAAAATATGGTGCAAACAAAAATGAAAAGAAAGGTACTACATTGTACGAGATTTACAAGCGGTCTTGTTGAAAAAGTATGCTTGACTTTTAAGGTGGTGGTTCCTAAAAAAAACGAGCTCCTTTAGGAGCACATGGCGGGTGTGACCGGTCAGCAGGGGGATGCTTACTCCTCCATGGCATCTGATCCCACCTCTGATGTTTCGGGGGTCCATGTTTGCTCTGCTCTTGTTTTGTATTGTTTTATGGACTTTGAGATTGAATACTGTTCGTTATCTCCATATCCTTCTTTAATCAATATAGCTCTGGATAGGATGTATGGAGCTTGCTACTTGATTTCTATTTCCTCTATAAAGATTTCTTCTTCTTCTATAAAAAAAGAGAGATCGCTCATGGGTTAACCCAGGTAATAGCATATATGATGCATGTAAATTATACAAATTTTAGCGACCATGCCCTGAATGCTTGTTTTCATTTACTATAATTGACTTAAAGGCGACCTAACTTTGATAAAACATTGATTATTTTCAATTTCTTTTTGAAATTACTGCTTCAATGAATAATTTACATAAATCCTTCACTCAAAGAATATATTAAAACATTCATATAAGTCTGAGTCATTTTATTTGTAAACTTTTTCAGGTTACCTTTTGCAAAAAGACAAGTGTTTTGCCAATTAAAGGAAACATTAACAGGACTCATTATTGCAAAAATCTCTCACTTCTCCCTCTTATATTTTGCGCCTGCGGTGTACTTACTACATCATATCCTGTTTTCTGTTTGATAGGTGATAATTATGCTGATAGTTATTTTGGCGGTGTTCGCTCTCTGTTGGTGTCCATTACAGATAACCATTTTATATTCCGAGTATAGAGGGAACCATACTAAGAGGGTGAGTTTGTATCATCGTAGAATACTTACATATTTTTGACACTAAATGCAATTATATTGATGCACAAGCGCAAAGTGAGAGTTGACAATAATCCTTCTAATTGGATTTATCATATAAGATTCTTACAGGTATGTATTCTTTCGAAAGGGCAAGTAAGCCTCAAACCTTTCGTGTTATAAATGGATAAAAAAGCAATTTCATGATCGCTTATGTAAGTTATATTTTCGATTCGCTGTCCTTTATGAGTTGACTAGAACCATATTCAGCTTACTCACATCTCCTTTCATCAAAGATTGTGTTTGTTTAGCGTCATATTTTCACTCATATAAGAAAGCCGCCAATCATCGGTGGAAAACTGCGAAATAGATTACTAACGAAGGCGGATATGACACCTTAATGAAAATGTATACGTACGATTCTTTTCTAAATTTTCAAATGATTCATTAAGAAATATTTTGACATGTACATGAAAAGAAGTTTCTTGCTGCGTCTTTCAATTATCAACGGCGTTTTGTCTTGTATCCATTTTAATTCCAACGTTGATTTGATAATCATACACCTTTGAACTCGAAATAAAAGATACAACAGAGCCTCTTATATTTTGATATTTTACTACAAAAGATATTAATGGTAATCTATCAGCTAAACATCATAATGATAAATGTCATTTCAATTTTACTATCGTCATATTCCCTAACATTTGCAGCAGTTTACTTTTCATATTGGATTTATTTTCCCCCAGTTGATTCGATATGCTTCGGGCATACATTTTATACAAACAATTTCCAAAACGATGCAAACTATTGACGAACACGTTGATAAATGAATAACATCAATAATGTACGCATCATTTTTTTTGAAGAATGTCATCCTCTACCTTTTAGTTTGTGGCCTTGAAATGTAACTAATTTAAACAACTTTTGCTACTGAGGGCATGTGTTTAAATTTTACCAAATTAAAACAAACATTCATTAGGAAAAACTTCTGCCTAGAAAATCCTACATTGGTGAGTTAATATTTGACTAAAATGTATTTGAAACTATAATACCTTATGGAAATATCCCTTTTATGACCTAAATGGAAGACAGAGTCTGCTAGGGACTAGCCGCTTTTAGAAGACAGAAGTTTTCTTTTTTTAAAAGGTTTTATTTTTTTTTCAGCTTGAAGAATGGTATATACATTTAGAATTTTCCGCCAGATTACTCGCATTTTCAAATAGTGCATTTAATCCTCTAATATATGCCGGCTTTAATGAAAACTTCAGGAAAGGTGGGTATCATTGTTGTATGTTGTATGTACTGCATCTTTTAGATGTGTAATTTGATTTTATGTATACTTCCATATTTTATCCTTAATATTGTTTTGTTTTATTTTCCTTCTAACACCTTGCATGTATTCGCACTACCACTGTTGTAATATATGAATTATTAATCAAACTAGGCGTAGAGGAGCACAAGCGAGTCATTACGGATACCCCCGTTTTTCATTAAATTTGTACTTCAAACAATAAGAACGATTTCCCCCATATGGCTTTCATTCACGATTCTCAGCAGTGTGATTGTTAAGTGCGAGTGTTTTAATTTGTTATTACTGGTTTTGTTTTGAAGTGTTTTCTGGCCGCACTGAGAAACTAATTGTGTTTTATTTGCAAACATTTCAGGAGACATAAGTATATAAAAGCAATTATGATCAGATGAAATCTGCATAAGTATTCTCTATTAATAGAAATAGTAATATTTTACATATGTAATCTCAAATAAAACACGTCATGCACAAGGACGATGATAATGAAGACGAGGGAGAAGAAATTACTACTTATACTCAGACTACTTTCAATGTAATATTCTGTATTAATAGCAACATTTATTAACTAAATTATTTATATACAATAATCATTAACAATGATTCCAGGTCTAGTATCGTACAGTAATGAGTACAAATATTATTTTACCTCAGAGTAGAATGTTTTAATGACAGCTTAATTGTAATTTAAAACATCAGGAGTTAGATCTTTAAAAAGTACGGCAGTTAATTCTTAAATTAAATTGAAATAAAGACATAATTAGTGTCTTTAAAATAGTGAAAATTTTCATTCCAATCCAGGCATATTTTAAAAAAAAATACACATTTAAGGACAGAATTACTCACTTAACAAAATAGCATTTAGAGTACAATTTATATTACTTTCTGGCGAAGATGCAGATTGAAAAAAAATTACGCATTTGAGGACAGAATTACTCACTTAACAAAATAGCAGTCAGAATACAAATAATATTACTTTCTGGCGAAGATGCAGATTAAAAAATTCCAGCTTGTGGTGGGCATTTTATACTTTAAAGGAAATTATACGGAAGCTCTTTTTCTGTTACAGCCCTTTACACCTTACATATAGCCACTATGGAGGTTTTTTTTAAGATTATATATCCCTTACCTCCTTACATAAATGTCAAAGTAGTTGGCAAGGCCTATGGATCTATTCTTAAAAAATATTATTTCGCCTTTCCCTCAGTCTGTTTTACAGTGTTCAAAATTCACTTGATACAAATTTTAAATATTCCACGAAAGAAAAAAAGGTTTTTTAATTCTTAATGTACTCCCTTTGTGAATGATGGTCATGTTGAAGAAACAACATTTAATGCTTCAATGTTTATGTTACTAGCATGCATGTTAACATCACTATGCACTATGCTCAATATAAACCCCCCTTGGTAAATCATCTACATCACGAATTTCTACATCCGACAATTTTATAAAATTCCTATGAACAAGATGACAGTTTCAGGAAAATGTTGGTTTCCTCTTGTCCGTCTCAATATCCAGGGTAATGAGGAGAACTCGCTTTGAAGATGTGATAAATTACTTGCTGTAGAATCAATAAAGAGAAAAGGAAATTAGATAGTCAACGTATCATTTCATTTATCTTTTATTAACACTGTCGTGATCCCGTGCCGGATTGGACAAAACAAGATGGCGGCGGGAACAAATCGAAAAAGGTAGGTACCTGAAATTTCGGTAAATATCCCCCGTTAACCGTCAGTTATGCTTGATTCGAAGATACTGTCGAATTCCTAGTAAAATTTTTAATAGTGTGTTTAATTGCTACTTTTCCTATCGTCTCTTAAACTTGAATATTTAACGACTGAAGACTGCAGAATTTCTCCGATTGAGTTTGAAGCGGCGTGGAGTTGTTTTTTTCTTCGATTCTGACAGTTTTATGCATCCAGCAGCAGGAGTGTGGCTAACAAATGATACTTTGGAGTAATTCTGACCCGTTGTTATATGTTTATTTGTTATAACCCATTTTATTACAAAAATATTTCGATTTAAAAATGTTGACGTGCTGGACTGGAATCGGTTAATTTTAATGGAGATTGTGCCGGATTTGACTGCATTTTTGGTGCCGGATTGGATGATGTTCATGATAGTCATTTATGTAATAACTTTTTTCTCTTTTATTTTTTTAAGCTATGGATGCATAGTTCAATGAAATACCAGGAGGAATTTAATAAAGCTTATCTAAGCATCTGCACTCAGGAGTTTTGTAGAGATGACACATTAAAAGTGTAATGTTTCTATATTCAAACTCAAGACATGTCGTGCTGCATGCTTTTTTTATTCTGCCCCAGAGTTACATTTTAGACTAAACATTAACAACCTGATATAAACGGAATCGGATAAAAACGGATTACATGTACATATCATTACATCTTTCCCCTTTTAAAGATAAAATGTACAAAATAAACTTTTACTGTTAATTTAGATAGAAAATTTCAAATTAATAATTTACTGAAAGTTAGAGATATAGAGTACAACATATTTACATAATATATACAGTCAATCATGAATTCATCTTTCAATATACCGGTAAGTTCTCAAATTCTATAACATTGGGGATTATTATGCCCCTCACACAATTACATCACTTGGGGATTATTATGCCCCTCACATAATCACATCACACATAATCCTGGAATCTTTTAGGTCGTCTGACCTCACGTCCGGATCGTGTTTTATACGTTTCTGCTCGTATCGGCTGATTTGGCTCTAATGATTGTTCTGGCACACTTTTCTCGAGTACTGGCTGCACGGGTACTTCTGTCTCACTGAAGTCATCTAGGTCATCATGTTCTGAGATAGCTTTTCGAAAACTCGTTTCCTCTGATTTGATGATGTCTCTGCGATTTCGACGAAATTTATCACCATTTAAGTTTTCTACATTGTACGATCGATCATGAACTTTATCTTTCACGTATCCTGGCATCCAATGTCCTCTGTGTTGGAATCGAACTGTATTTCCCGGTTTCAAATACGGAAGATCTTTCTGTCCACTGTTGAAATACTTCTTCTGTTGATCCTGTGAGTTTCTTCTTTTTTCATAAGTTTTCTCTGCTGGAATGACTTTAGGTCTGAGTTGTTCTTTGGTGATGGGTAGAATAGATCTGAGTTGTCTGCTCATTAGTAGTTGCGCTGGTGAATCAACATCTGACGGCGTGTTCCTGTATTCTAGTAGACTAATGTAAGGATCCCGTCCATCGACTCTGGCTTTTTCCAACATACGTTTTGCTGTTTGGACAGTTTTTTCCGCTAAACCATTCCCTTGTGGATAGTACGGGCTTGATGTTATGTGCTTGAATGCCCATTTGTTTGCGAAATCCTTGAATTCTCTGGATGTATATTGCGGTCCATTGTCGCTGATTACTTTAAATGGTATGCCATGTCGGGCAAATGCAGATTTCATATGAATTATGACAGTTTTACTCCTAGTATTTTCAAGTTTAGCGATTTCAAAGAATTTGGAGAGAGAGAGAGTTAAGTGTGAATAGATCAGTTCCGACAAGCTGCCATGGTCCATTTGGTATGGGTGTTGGTCTTAATTTTTCTTTTGTATTCTTCTTTCTGAAGTCCATGCATGTGTTGCATTTGGATATCATTGATGTAATGTCTGCATTCATCCCTATCCAATAAACTACAGTCCTTGCACGAGCCTTTGTCTTCTCAATACCAAAGTGTCCTACATGAAGGTATCTAAGGATTTCTGGTTGTAGAACTTCAGGAATGATGATTCTTTCGTTAATCATAACAATTCCATTCACAGATGTTAACTCAGATTTCATCCTCCAAAATTCTTGTAATGGTTTGGACAGCTGATTCCTGTATTCTGGCCAACCATTTTCAATATGATGAATCACTTCCCTGAGAATTGTGTCATTCCTGGTTTCGTTTTTGATATCTTGTAGAATATCCTTAGCTATAGGAATCCCCTCAAAAAACACAGAATTCACATAAGCTTCAATTTCATCATCTATCTCATCTTTCTGTTTTTTCACTGTAGGTAGATGAGCACGAGACAGTGTGTCCGCTATTATCAAATCTTTTCCCGGAGTGTATTTGAATTCAAAGCAATATTTCTGTAGGCGAAGTAGTAGTCTTTGTAGCCTCGGTGGAGCTTGAACCAGTGACTTCTTGAGAATGTTCTCCAGCGGCTTGTGGTCATTTTCAACAACAACGTTTACTCCATAAGTATACTGGTGGAATCTTTCTAGACCAAAAGTAACAGCTAACAGTTCTTTTTCTATCTGAGCATAACGTTTTTCAGTCTCTGTTAACGCTCTAGACGCATAAGCAACTGGTTTTTTGTCCTGTATAAGCACTGCACCTAGTCCACATTTTGAAGCATCCACACTAACACATATAGGTTTTTTCACATTGAAAAAAGTAAGAACTGGTTCCTTGGACAAAATTTCCTTGATAGCCTTGAACGCATCCTCCTGTGGTTTCTCCCAGATAAACATATTTTCACTTCTGAGTAAGCATGGGATTGGTTCATTTATGACTGACATGTTTGGAATGAATTTGGCAAGATAATTCACAGTTCCTAGCAGACGCTCGACTCCTTTCTTATCCGTTGGCGGTGGCATGTTGATAATTGCTTCGACTTTCTCTCGGTCAGGTTTTACTCCTTCCTTGGAGATCACATGTCCTATGTAAACAATCTCTGTCTTGTTGAACTGACATTTGTCCTTATTTAGGGTAAGGTTAATTTCCATGCATTTCTGTAGTACGGCTTTTAGTCGTCTGTTGTGTTCCTCTTTATTTCTCCCCCACAAAAGTATGTCGTCTATGTCCACTTCAACACCTTCAATACTGTCAAAATGTTGAGCAATCCTCTTCTGAAAAACTTCCTGTGCACTCTTTATGCCAAAAGGCATGCGTCTGAAACAGTATCGTCCATATGGTGTATGAAATGTTGTAAGAAGTTGACTGGCCTC